ACAGTTTACTTGAAACAAGCTGTGGGTAAGTTGTATTAAGAACTTAAATCAGTAAGCTAGAATGATGTCCCAAAATCATGAGGTCACAAAGCATTTAGCCAATCGATTGTTATTCAACTTACACGTTGCGAAGTAACAAAAAGAGCCACAATGTATTTTTTTTCCAAGAAGTCTCTGATTGACCAAGAGAGGAAACCATATTCTGAACCAGTCAATAGATCTGTAGCGTGATCCAACAAGAAATTGTAATGAGCACATTAGCTCTTCAGGACTTTTTATTCCTCCTAAGGGAGAGTTAGTCCTTGACTCACAACCTTTCATTCAATAACCATTCAAAGTTACCACAGTGCTGAATGAAGGAGGACTTACAATGTGTGTTCTTCCATTGTAGCTTCTCTGCTGTCATGTAATTTTAATTATTTAACATATTTATATAATCACCGTCTTTTAACCAAATCTGGGTATTTCCAAAAGGAAAGCTAAAATGGCATAACTAAACAGATGATTCATTTATTTAAAACATTTATGTAGCTGCTCATCCTTTACTTTTTTTTCCAGCAAGGAGAGTATAATGTAGTCTGATATTGTATGGTGTGGGATGGGATGGGATGGGGTGGGACAGGATGGAATGGCATGGGACAGGACAAATATCATAAAAGTTTTCTTTTTAAGTAAACCTTTCCTTTTTTATATTTAAAGATATAGTATGTGCTGTGATATGATCACTCTAACAATAACTTTTAAAAACATGCAGTTTAGCTCTTGAAAACATCCCCCTAAAATACCTACACTTGGAAAGTGGAACTGTTAAATATGCTATTAAAATGTCCCCAGATTTAAAAATAATAATGTTTTTCTAAGTGTTTAGACTAGAGATTCAGTGGCAGGTTTCTATTCAATGGTGTTTGGTTTTTCTATTTATGGAACCTTCTATATGCTGCCACCACCTACTGGAGAGAATAAATAACAACATTAGTGATTGCTATATTCCTGTAGGTTTAAGAAGCATTTACCAAAGAAAAATATTTTTATGTGCCACAAATTTGGGGAATCTGAGAGATGTCAGTAAAATATATCAGCTCATTAAAAGTTATCTTGACTTGAGATGAGTTATAAGTGTCAATATATAAAACATATTTTCATTACTGATGTTCAATTTATTTTTCTTAGCTGCACATTCTTAAATTGGAAGAAAGTTTGTGAAACAGAAATGGAGTGCGGAATCTGGGACTTGGATTTGCAGAATACTGCTAACTAATGCACATTTGAATGGCCCCTTCATTAGGGAAGCTATTTAAGCTTTTTCTTTCCATCATTTATTATATGTAACATGACAAAGAAAAGCTGACATTGTCTGAATCACATTTCTGAATTTTGTCAGGAAGCAATTTCTGTGATCATGCCCCCTGTTATGTGCCTTCAAAAAGGATTTAATGTATTTACTGTGCAAATAATTCAAAATTACCAGTGGGTATGTGTGATTACTAAGAAGGAAAGATATTAGCAATTGGCTTTTATTATTTTTGTTAGATGAGGTGGAAGGGATCTTAGTTGATCAGTAATTGATGGTAGTTTAAAGCAGTGTTTCTCAACCTGAGCAACTTTAAGACTGGACTTTAAGTCTGGACTTCAACTCCCAGAATTCACCAGCTACCCCATGGAATTATGGGAGTTGAAGTTCACACATCTTAAAGTTCCAAGGTTGAAAAACACTGACTTAGAGAATAAGGCACAGTTATGATGGGAGCAGTAAGGGAGACAGAATGGCCAATGACTTTGGATGTGTTCTATTACAAGGTCTCAATTCATAAAAAGTAGAAATATGCTTCCGTTAACAACCTCTGCATATTGATATTAAACTTTAAAAAATTAAAAGACCACAAAGAAAACTGACTTTCATTTATGCTGTATTACAAAGCCTTCAAGTATCCTTGAGGCCATGAAGAGAATTAATATTAGAAAAGGGTCCTTCAGATCATGCATGTCCTTCACATTAGAACATGGGCAAAATGTAGTCCTCAGAGTCCCTTCAAAGCATATCCTTGAAATTTAGTTACAAACTGATAAAAAGCAGCAGCATGGTATTCTGCTTTAGGTAGGGTGACATTAAAACCCCAAGTAAAATAAATGGGTTAAGCCTCTTTTAGCTTTAAACCCTCTTCTCAGCAGGATTTAACAGGGCTTGAAAATTGCCCTTCCACTTCATCTGCTGATATGATTGCATCATCACATCTCCCGCAATCCTCAGTTACTGAAAAAGAAAGATGAAAAAAGAACACTTGAGACTGCGATGGAGTTGCTCCCCAGTCTTTAGAGTGTGTAAAGACATGGGATTCATAAACTATAGAGCAGCATTTCTCAACCTGGGCAACTTTAAAATACGTGGACTTCAAGTCCCAGAATTCCCCAGCCATCTCCATGGGATTCTGGGAGTTGAAGTCCACATATGCTAAAGTTGCCAAGATGGAGAAACGCTGCTATGGAGCTCCCTCACGATCAGAATTTCCTTTATGGTATAAATAATATAGAAGCAATTGGTCTCTCAGGTTGGTTGGAAATAATGGGGGAAATGGATGATTTACAAGACTGTAAGCGGACTATTTTTCTTCTGCTCAAAGACCCCTTTGGTTCAGCAGTCCAGTACAATTAATCAAATTGCTGATGAGGGGAAGGAAAATTTACTTGTATTTATCCTGCTTCTAATATCCCACTGTTTTTTGGTGCTCTGAATTAATTTGATAGGTGTTTAGAAACCAAGCTTTTGCTAGCATTTTGAAAACCTTTACTCTCTTTCCTCTGCAACCTGCTAACCAAAGAATGGGAATCTTTCCCTCTTTTATTCTTATTTTTTTCCATGTTTGTTTATTTTGTTGCAATTACTTTGTTGAAAGCCGCCCAGAATACTTGAGTGTCAGGAGGAGGCATACAAATTTAATAAATTATTATTTTGAGAGCTTTAATCTAAGTCTATCCATGGGTTATTAAATGAGAGGAAAGCTCTCTTGAACATCTGGGCACAGAATAATTCTTCCAAGCCATATTTCATACTCGATCAGCTATAAGTTAATGTCCTTTTTCAATATCCCCACTTCAAAAATTATATTATCTGTCCCCCTTATTTATGGGGGAATTCCCTTTTTCAATTTTAGATTATCTTGTACGTTTGCAGAGAAATACTTAGCAGTTAATACAGTAGCTGGCATGTCAGCCCTCCTAAATCTCAGACAGTGAATAGGCAGTGCTGGAATTCAGCTGTTAGTGCCTGGAGCAGAAACAAAGGCTCATGTTGCTCTCTTCAAGTGCACTAATAAAGAAATCAGTGGAACAGAAGAGAAATGTGTGTCATAAACAAAACAGCAACTTTGCAAACCCTCGTTTGCAGATCCACGTTAAGTGCAATCATTGGGCCTCTGTGTGAGCTATTACACTGCTTCATTAATTCTCTTGGCACGTGGCCCAGCATGATTGACATTGAGACCTTCTGCTAGGCCTAGTAAGAGAGGAGGAATATGTGATGCCATGCTATAAAACTGCAATGACTTATTTGGAGTGGGATCCTTTTCATCCAAGGTCTGAAAAGTAAATTACTGTTGGAGTATGTCATATCATTTTGACTTTATCTGCAAATTGTTATTCTTTATGCCTGCCTCTTTAACAGACACTATTAATTCATTTCCATTCCTGGGTACAGTTCTGAAATTTCCATTAAATTGATTTATCACAGTTATTTACCAGCTACAGGACATTAGTAACAAGCTTACTGAAGGATGTATTTCCTGGTTATCAACATTAACTGACCTAGATTTTCCATTGTTTATATGGAGAGATTTTTAACATCCGATATGTATAATCTTTCCGCTAAATGTTCTCTGCTATCTTCTTATGACTTAATGTTATTAGAAATTCAATTTACTTTTTGTCAAGGTAATGCCCTGCTCTTGATCTGTGCTAAAGATATGTCCACAGGTATTACTGCTACTTTCACTGAAATTCAGTCTAACCACTATATTAATTTTACTCTTCGAGGTAAATTCAGTCCCCCCTCCTTTTTTTTTTTTTTTTTTTTTTGAATTTGCAGAAGGCTAAAAGCAGGCAAGTTCAGAAAATGTCAATGATCTAAACTGCAATAATTTCTTTGTCACTTTTTCGTAGTAGTGTAACTTTACCAGAATCATTGGTGACAGTGATAATAATTAATATTTCAGCTTTTCAAATAGCATTAGCGCTGCTAGCTCCAATAATAGAATAGCTCAGAATAGAAATTTCCACACCTTTAAAAAAAATAATTACATTATTTAGAATTTACATGGCTGTCTTCCTTATATATAGTTACTCCTAGATGGCTCACAATAATATTAAATAAAAGCAGAATTAATAAAATAAACCAAACCCACAACAATGACATATATCCCAAGCAAATCATCGCAACATCTGATTGACTTCCCTCTGCTGGGCTCACTTTTATCTTAGCTGAATTCCTGGATGAAGAGCCAGATCTTAAGAGATCTCTACAAAGCTAATATATGCAGAGTTGTGTAAAATTCATACACAGATTTGCAAACTGAACCCAAATTAAAGAAAATATATTTTTATGGCAATCAGGAATCTTTCAAATATGCTGTCTGTTAATACTCTATTGTATTAGAATATGGGTGTCAAATTCGATCACGTCTTTGCCTTTGCAGGGCCAGGGTTAGTGGTAGGTACCAATGTTCCCTCTAAGCTGCACGCCTGCGCAGCCGCACACATAACATGAAAACACCACGCAGCAGTTTCCAACTGCTGCGCGGTGATTTTCAATGTCATGCTTCCCGTTAGATGAGAGGCCACTCTCCACTCCCAGCACTAACTTTCACGCTCCTGGGCTTTCTTTGCATAATGGCTGGAGGCACTGCACATTCAGATCCAAGCTGCGAAGCAAC